TTTTTACAAGAAAAATAATTTACTGTAATGTTGTGATTTACTCACATCCAGCAAAATAAAAAGAAAGATGTTCACCAACATAGTTTAAAGGTTGTTGTTTAAAAAGAACAAACTAATGTTTGTTCTTTTTAAACCGCCCTGACTCGGGTTTTATTTAGTTTTTTTTTTTGGTCTGAACACCTTAAACACAATAAAACATAAACCTTCATTTTGAGTTGTATAAATTAAAGTTTTGAGTTCTTTTAGTGGCGTCTTTTAGAGTTAAAGTAGATTTAAGTTACTGAACTAGAGAAATCAGAAATTAAAAGAATAAAAGCCTGTTTGTCAAAGTTAAACATTTTACCAAAAAAAAAAAATGATTTCAGAGAAAACCTAAAATAAATTTTCTCTTCAGAATCAGTTAAACTATCTTTAAATTTTAGTTTTATTATTTTTATTTATTCTTAGTAGCCTATAATAAATGTAGCTCCAGAATCAAAAACAAATCTGTTTTAAGACTCGGGGTTCTGATGGACCGGAACCACCTGAGTCTTGCTGACCACATCAGGTCTGACTGCGGACCACAGGACCCTCCAGGCGCCCAGACCTGAAGGAAAATCCCGGTTCTGGTCGAAGCGCGTCAGCAGAACCTGCTTACATAAGAGCAGGTTCTGCAGGATTCTGCAGGTTCTGAGCAGGACGCGGAGCTTCATCAGGTTACTGTGGGAATTCCCGACGTCATGCTGTGTGCGCGTGTAACCGCAAACGGAGCTCTGCGGGTGTTTACGAACCAGAACCACGAGCATCCATTCTTACCTTTGACGCAGAGCTGCGGGACAGATGATCCATCCGGTCTGGACAGGAGAACCTCTCGGTTCGGGTCTCGGTCCCCGCAGTCCAAATGAGGCGAGACGGGCGGGGTGCCGCGGTGGGGCCCCCTCTCTCCCCCTCCCTCCCTGATACGGGACGATCTCAGGCTCGTTTGGTCACGAAACCACAGCTGGGAGAAGCTGCGGCGCTGCAGAGGCGCGTCGGTCCGGCAGCGCGCGCGCGCGCACAACCCTCCGCCCCCCATCCACCCGCACGGGAGGAGGAGGCTGCAGCTGCTCAGACTCCTCAGCCTTCATCATCATCTTCCTCTTCTGCAGTCAGTGCAGCTTCCTGTCAGCAGCTGAGCTGCAGCTGCAGGACGGCGCAGATTGAAGGAAGATGGAACAGTTTACAGGGGGATGGAACGGTTTACAGGAGGATGGAACGGTTTACAGGAGGATGGAACGGTTTACAGGAGGATGGAACGGTTTACAGGAGGATGGAACGG